TGGCGGAGGCGGCGGGCGGCGCGGGCCCCGGGGTGCGGGCTCTGCTCTGAACCGACTCTGTGCTTGGTCTGTGCTTTTCTCTCCCTGTTTCTCAGCCCGCGCCTTGGCTTCGCTCATAGTATGGCAACACGTATGGTGCGGTCAGCAGCGACAAGCCCTCGGTCCGCCCGGCGCCGTAACGTACCCCATGGCGTGCGAACCGGGACGCAGAGCTGGCTGCCCCTGCGCTCCTCCGGCCCTGTTCGCTGTAGTTAGCTTGGGCGAGCGGCCGTAACTTTGCAAAGAACTGCCGAGCGTTGAACCCTCTCCTCACACGAGGAAATCTTTTCCCTATTTTGCAAATGAGGATCTGAAGCAAACTGCCATTAAAGGACTTGCCTGTAGTCGTGCAGGAAGTCCGGGGGAGAGCTGAGTTTGCTTCCTTTGCTACAGAATTGCAGCTCTCTAAGAGTGCAAATCAACTCTTTAAAGCAGAGAGGTGTGTGTGTGAAATGAATGTTTGGCCTATGTAGATTGCGCTTAGATTTTCTGGTTTGGGGTGGGTGCTGCAAAAATACTGACTTGTTAGAGATTGAGAGTTTTTTTGACTGTAAGAAAGAAGCATGTCGTTTAGAAATGCGTTTTTATATGCCCTTGTGTGAAGACCATGGTTCTTTCCACATCTTCCAGTGAATGAACCCATAGAGGTGAAAGTGCCCACAGGCTGTGTCTCACAAGCTGAGGTTTCCAACTGAAGTAAGCTAGGCAGGCAAGTGGCACTCTTGAGAAAGGTCCATATATTTTGATGAAAACTGGTTGGTTTGTAGACTGCTTAAATGCTACATGAGCCATCGTATGGAAGCTTGCTGAATATATGAACATCATATGGCTAATTTGTCTCGTAAGTGCCTGTCGTGAGGAGTGGGAGCTGTTTAACCGAAGTATTACCTACTACTCCAGCAACAGGCTGGATGACAGTAGACCATGTGCTGGTCTTCATCTCTGCTCTTCTCTCTTCTGTCCTTCCAGTAGGGGTAAAACTGGAGCCAGCTATCAGACAGTAATAGATAGTTTAGCATGGCTGAGCTGATTCCATCATCACTGTGATAGTCCACAGATGCAAGAGAAGTTGGTGTGTAGGAAGAGATTACACAAACCTGGCTATGGTATACTTAGAAGAAAGGGGGGGAAAGGAAAATGTCAGTTTTTTTGGTCTTGTGAGTCCAGAAACTTGTCTGTTCTGTTCTTCCAAGTGAATTGGCTGGTCTTATGCAGTGACTTTTGATTTTTGAACTACAACCCCCTCACACTCTGGTCTAGGGGCTGCTTAGAAATGTCATAAAGCTGAATGACATACACAGGTTTGCTTTTCTTAGTCACCTTTGCACCTGTGGCACAGTCTGTGGGCTCCCTTCTTACCACCACTGGTGTTAGAGAAGATTTCCTATCCCAGCAAGCCCAGCTGGTGTCATAGTTGTGTTGTGGGTTTCCTGTTGTCCATGCAGAAAGCCATGGGTGTTTCTTGACTTCTGGATCTTCAGAGAGCTGAGCTTGCAAATGTTCGTTTGAGTTGCATTTTGGAGTTGTATTAGGGAAAACTGAAGTTGAAAATCGGGAAAGTGAGTTCTGCTATTCAGAAGTGATCTCTTCCCAAATGTAAATTTAATTGCAATTTAGAGAATAAAGTAATTGGATTACCAGAAGCATAGAAGCAACAAGACTGTTGGATGCAGTGAAACTGAAGAGGTTTTTCTTGTTAGCTGATTTGCCTGTGATGCATGTGGAGATAAAGATGTTTCCAATATCATGCAGTACTGTCAATATTCAGTGCCCCTTCAGAGAAGCCTGTCAGTTCAGACATGCTTGTGCCCACTCTCGCTTTGTGAACGTTTCTCTCATGGGTAGGTAATGGTGTTACAGCAACTCTTAGTGGTTATTAAAACATATATTGGAGGCAGCTTAGTGATGCAGGTGTGAAACAATCCATGTGGAATAGTCAAAATGCAATGACATGTTTAGACAGCGCAGAATATGTGATGGATGCAGCCCTCTCATGGGAAACATCTGGAATTCAACTAATGCACAGTATTTCAGTGTTAAATAATGGGGTGTTTAAATTTGTCTCCTTTTGGGCTTAAGAGTAAAGAGGGAACTGGTTGTGTCTAGATGAGGTCAGAATCCAGTTTAGACCTTCAGTGAAGAAGTTAAAGTGGGATCAGCTGTTGCAGCAGTGCAGCAAACTGGGCCCTTTAATCTCGTCTTTCCAAGGCTGACAGAGCTTTGGAAGCAGTTTGTTGAGGCTGAAAGCAGCTGTAATTCAGTGTGGGGGGGTTGTTCTCAACAACCCTTTCTTCCTCACAAATTGGCTTTGGAGAAAATCAGCGCTTACTCCTCTGGAGACAAGGCTGTTGTCAAGAGATATGAGCTGCATGGACATCTTGCAGAGAAAATGGATGTCCTCTGCCATATTTTTGGTTGGATAATTAAGGTCCTTTGTACTTCTGTGAATGTCAGAGTGATAACTTTAGACGTGGTTGCAGACTTCTAGGAGGCACACGGTGCCAGTGGGAGCTTGCACAGATTGGCCATTAATGGCCGGTAACTGAAGAACTCAGTAGAAGTCAGGTGATGCCCAGTGTGCTGCCATTGTTGCAAAGCCGGTTTCTTGTTTTATGCCTGTTAACTTCTTGTTTCTAAACCCTTTTATCTTGTCACTAGGCTGTTCTTTGGAGTTTATTGCACTCTTTTAGGGATCGGTTCTCAGAATCAAGGAGTTAGAAGTGAGATTTGAGATAAGTGAGGCCCATTCGGTGCTGCTTTGGACGCCTCCAAAGGAGAAATGGAGTTATCAGGATTGAAAAAGAAGGGTTTGCTAAAAAAAAAAAAAAAAAAAAAAAAAAAAAAAAAAAAAAAAAAAAATCCAACACTAGGTAATCATTCTGTCCGAATTTTCTAGGCTTAACAAACTGGGGATGTCATAGAGTGCTAGGGCTCTCCCAGTGAGGGTGAGGAGTTGGAAATGTACCTCTTTCTGCGTGAATTCTGTATGTGAGAATTTCTGTATGCTATAGCTGTCTTCCTCAAAGCTGCTCTGTAATGTAAAATATTTTCTTTTTTCTACAAAGTCCAAACTTGCCTATTGCTTTAACTCTGCAGTTACGGTGATCTTGAGTTACATTTGAAGTTCAATGTTTTGTGTTGTTGTTCTGTTCTTCGTTTGGGTGTGGGTTTTTTGTTGTTTGTGGTTTTCTATATTAAACATTGTCTTCTGCAATTTCTTCTTGAAGGGCTCCCTCACCAACCAAGCGCAAGGATAGGTCTGAAGAGAAATCGAAGGACCGGTCCAAGGATAAAGGAGCCACTAAGGAATCGAGTGAAAAGGATCGTGGTCGAGACAAGACACGCAAAAGACGCAGTGCTTCCAGTGGAAGCAGCAGTACCAGGTAGTTATTCTTACAGGTAGTAACAAATTACAGTGTTTTCAGAAACCACCAGCTTGATTTCTGGTACATTTAATTCCCTGTGTCCTGGACTTGTTGAAAGCTTGCATTGTATTAGTCACAGTGCAGTTTTGTCTAACTTCAGGGATTTTAATTTTTAGGTATGATTTTCCTTTGGAGCATCCTTTTTTATTATTCTAAGTATCAGAAGTTTTTCAGCCATTCTTTTTCTGGATACTCCACTCATTTTTATTCTGTACACACCCTGCCCCCCAACAGATCCCGTTCCAGCTCAACTTCCAGTTCAGGGTCCAGTTCCAGCACTGGTTCTAGCAGTGGCTCTAGTTCCTCTTCTGCCTCCAGCCGCTCTGGGAGCTCCAGCACCTCCCGCAGTTCCAGTTCCAGCAGCTCCTCTGGATCTCCAAGTCCATCTCGACGGAGACATGACAACAGGAGACGTTCCCGCTCCAAGTGAGTTTTATTTGCCTTCTAGGAATTACCAGATGGCGGGTTAATTTCTGTGTAGGATACAAGATTGTGATCAGAATAGATTGTTTTCTGAGGACTGTTTGCTTCTCCATAACTTAGAGATCTGAATTTTCTTAGATTGGGTGTGCCCCTTTTGGTTACAACCAAAACATATGCCCTGTAGAAGGGAGATTAAAAATCTTATTTTAAAGAGTGATTTTAAATATTATATTTTATAGAGGCAATCTTATTCAATGTTTTCCCAATAATATGTGACTACATGGTCACTAGATAAGGGTAAAGCTCTTTGATTCCTGTAAATTACTGCCGAGACCAGAGAAAAGTCAGGGCTGAAAATGGTGTATATGTTTATTATGCATAAAAAAATAAAATTGAAGGAGGGGAAAAGGAAGCATTTTCCTGTAAGGGTAGGAATCAAGCTATGTTAATGTCCATGCAGTTTTTCCCTTGGATAATTCTGTAGGTAAGGTGCTGAAATCTGATAAAATCTACTGAAGTAGAAACCATTGTGGGTTTTTTTAGTATATCACTCAATCTATGGGCAGTCAGATTCAGAAGAAGCATAAATATAAATTTTCTTCATACTGAATTCTTTACAGATTAAAACTCCATTCCAGATTTACTTTTTTTTTTAAACTACAGATAAATTGTGATATGCAGTTACTTAATAGTGGGTTGGGGTTTTTTTTAACCGTGACATTTTTGGACCTCTGTAGTGAAGAGAAGATATAAAACCACAAATCATTGGATGCATTAATTTGCCTGGTTGTGGTATGCTTTGGTGTTTATGTCCTCATCTTGCCACTCTTAACTGTTGAGGGCAAAGAATGTTGGTTGGGTTTTTTTTTTTTAAACAACTGGGAAATTCTTTAACTATGGCCAAGGACTTTATAGAAATGTTTCCTAATTTCATGTTTGTTACCCTAGTTGCAGTAAAGTTTAAAACTCACAAAAAAAGGCTCTCAAATTCCAGAAGGTTCTAAAGCAAAAGCACACAAGGCAAATGCAAGTCCTGAGGTGTTTCTGAGTGGAACACCATCACCACCACCCCAGCACTTCCTAGCCTGTAACTTCTTAAAAAAAAAAGATGCCTTCCCAAGAAAAATGGTACTTCATGTGATAATGACTGGCTTCTTGGTTTTGTTTTGAAAGTTCCCTGAAAACTGTAAATGTTTTCTGTTGTCAAAACCAGGTCCAAGCCACCAAAGAGAGATGAAAAGGAGCGGAAGAGGCGAAGCCCATCACCAAGACCTACAAAAGTGCATGTTGGAAGGCTCACCAGAAACGTGACCAAGGTAATGGCATGCTCCCCTGTAATATCAAGCTTGTATATCTTTTGTGAGGACATGTGAGTGGCTCTTTTAAAGCTCTCAAAACTTTTTTGTTGCTGGAGTGCTGCTGAGTTGTTGCTGTTGGAAATTCTTGCTTTGTATCCAAATTGATCAGTGAGGAAAATTTTAGTAGGATTTTACTGAGCCAAATAAAGTGCAGGCGTTTGAGACTAGCACTTAAGAGGTCTGTCTGCTTTGTCAGTGTTCCAGACCTTGTATCCTGCCTTACTAGGTATAAAACTGTAAAAGTTGGGACGAAGTTGAAACTACCTTGGAGACATTAAGGATATCTGGAGGCTCTTTTGATAGACGATCTGAAGAGAGCTGGGCTGGCTTCAGTTGTCTTTGCTAAAATGTAGTTTAAAGGTCTTCAGAGGTGAAAGATTTAGGGTGCTGCAGAAATGATAGTTTTAAAAAATAATAATTGCATCTTAAGAGTTTTCAGCTGAGGGTGTTAAGTTCCCTTTTCAGGTCCCCAAGAGGATCTTTATACTAGTTGTGTTTTTGTAGCCAGTATTGACACGCAGCAGTAGCATTGCTAGAACTGAAGGTTTGGAATAATCTGAGGAACTGTATAGACAAGAGTAGAGAAAGCAGCAGTAATCCTTTCCACATCTGGCCAGTGCAATGTGTTCCTTCCTGATGGTGGCATTGATTTAAAGCTAATCTAATGCTGTGGATTTACTGCTCTGTGCCAGTCAGATCTGGTCAGTAAGTGTGGTCTGTGTCTTTAAGACTTGCTCTTTCTCTGCAGGATCACATCATGGAAATTTTTTCCACTTACGGAAAGATAAAAATGATTGACATGCCAGTTGACAGGTTAAATCCACACCTCTCTAAAGGTTATGCTTATGTGGAGTTTGAGAACCCAGATGATGCTGAGAAGGCCCTGAAACACATGGATGGAGGTAGGTATCAAATGCTGCAAAAGAGGCTGAGTGTTTTTAAAGATCTTTAGAGCAGATGAGTTTGATCTGAAAATGTCTTAGAGGTGATGGGGAAACCTTTGGAGAACTGATCTGAAATACTGTCTGTTTTCAGCCCAAATGAGTTTGGCTTTTGTCTGGTTCAGGACAGATCCTAAAACATCACAGAACTACTAAAACTGAGGGTTTTTTCAAAACAAACTAATCAAATTCTTTTAAGTTTTTGTGAAGATCTTCTTGGTTAACATCTGAACTGCAATTATATGGGATATTCAGTTAAGTAGTCTTGTATGTATGTGGACTTCATCAAAGTAACCCCTGAGTGGGTGATGGAAATAGCACTGTAGGCTGATAGACGTTTCAGTTCTTGTGACAAAGCTGTGAGTTGCAGTAATGTGATGTGTAGATGTTAGTCTTGGAAAATACTTACTTCCTGTTTCTGTGATTCTCTAAAAAGGCCAGATCGATGGTCAGGAGATCACTGCCACAGCTGTGCTGGCACCACGACCTCGGCCGCCTCCCAGACGCTTCAGCCCACCCAGGAGGATGCTGCCGCCACCCCCGATGTGGCGTAGGTCACCCCCTCGCATGAGGAGAAGGTGAGAGCTGTGACAATTGGTATTTCTTTCTCAGTGTGACCGTGTTATCACTGAAAGACTTGTCACGGGGACATTGCAAGTTTCATCTTGCTGGACTTTACTTTGCCCTCCAAATGACAGTTACACCTTTTGAGCATCAGTTGAACCTGGATTGTACTACTTAACTCCTTAGCATCAGGGTGACCTGCTCTGGTCTACACCCTGAAGGTAGTTTGTCAGAAGTGTCAGATACCTCCCAGCCTGTTCCCTGGAGCCCTTTCTGCCTAAGTGCTTTGAGGTGAAGTGGAATGGACTTCTGGCTCCAAGCCACTTGCTTTTCTGAAGCCTTTGTACCTCCCTCCCTTATTTCTGTGAATGAGCACATGACCAAAATGCAATCCCCCTGCATCAGGTGACCAGGGTACATTGACCCTGAGATGTGAGCTGACATGCATGCTACTGTTGTGTGACTTGGGGCTGCCTGAATGTGTGTGTGTCTCAGTCTTCTCAGCATCTAGATGGGCTCTTCTGTCTTGGAAATGTGCTTAAACTCTTATCACTAGTAAAAGCAGCTCCTTGTTTGAGCCACTTGATTGCTGGACAGTTTACAAACTACGGGTTTAAAAATGAGAGCTAGTTAACGTGGCACAAGATCCACTGCCTGTTGGTCTTCCTTTAAACATGCCATTTACTGAGGCGCCTGGCAAATGATAGATTTGGCCTTGCCTCCTCATTGTTTTCTTCCCTAGTCTTAATTTTTATTGTCCTGTTCAGGCTCTGTTAATATTCTATGCCTGGAACCTTAGTGTCATACTGGTGGCCATACAGATTGATTGTACTGCTTGAACAGCTTGAAGCTTAACTATTTCTTTGGAGTTAGACTTCCTCTAAGATAATGTCCCTGTGGTTTGAAAGGGCTTATATAAATCCTTTCCCCGAATATCACTGTATTTCAAGAGTCAAAAGCTGACCTTTCAGGTGAAGAAGAATCTGATGTAGAGTGAACATGAACTTGTTTTGCCTGAGGAAGAAAAGATTTTTGTCTGTCTTTGGATATTACACATTTCTTTCAACTTCCCGAAGCAGAGGGAAAGTAGCCAGGATGTTCCTGCTGTGTAGTTAGTGTTTGAATTTCCTTTTTCCTTGCTGAAGCTGGCTGTATTTCACTGGAACTCTTTTAGTATGGTGTGTGAGGGTTTTTTTGGAGGGGGGTGGGGAAGTGTTTTTGAAAAGTTGATGGATGAGTTGACAAATTACTGGAACCTCTTGCTTTTATCTCCTAATGAAAGCTTTCTCCTCCTTGTCTGCCAGGTCCCGGTCTCCGAGGCGCAGATCCCCTGTTCGGCGGCGATCAAGATCCAGATCTCCTGGACGGAGGCGCCACCGCAGCCGCTCCAGCTCAAACTCCTCACGATAAAGCAAAAAGACTGGACAGCTTTTTATTTTTTAACTTAAATCCCATCAGACTAAATATTGTACCTTTTTTTTTTTTTTATATAATGGGTCTGGGTGAGGAGTAAGAGAGAGATAATCCTGGCAGTGAAGGCAACCTAAGAGGAGAGAGCAACAGTTCCCGGCCGGTAGATAGCCTCTGCTGTGGGGCTTCTAGTTTCCTGGCATTTAATTGAAATTATTTAAAAATGGCTTTGATTTTAAAGGCTGCAAAAAACATCTTTTCCAGATAAGCGGAAAGAAAGATGTTACAGCCTCTATTTCTCCAGTTAGCAGGCTGCTGCTTGGTGATTTCTAAATGCTTCGCATGCTGTACAGATGAGCATGTAAATCTATTTCAGAAACCCTGTATAGTAAGGCAGGGAGGCATTTATCTTGATCTCTGGGTGCCAGCACAGGATTTTTCAGAGCAGCTGGAGTCCAGATCTGCTTGAGACTTAAATACTGAGTTGTCACTTTATACCAGTTCCCAAACAGATTTTTAGTTTCTGCAGAATACGTTTTTCTGCAGATTAAGCTCTTCTGTAATGCATATACCAGGCAATCACCGTGGAAACAACAGTTGAGCCCACTCAACACGATGCTTTAGAAAAGAAGCTGGAAATCTTAACTGATTTGTAGCTGTCCCTATAAGTGATTTCTTTCACCTTTTCTTAAAGGGTTTTGGTAAAAAATTCCTATGCAACCCCCCAGTGAAACAGTGTGAGTGCTTCTGCTTTTACAAATCTCAAATTAGCGACCGACTGTCAACCCCCTGGAAACTGCAAGGCAGAGGGAGGCTCGAGGCCGTGATGCTGGCTGGATTAACTGGGGTTCACATAGGCAAAGGCGAAGAATTTACCACCTGTTGTACAGTCAATACTATATTAAGATTTTTTTTGTTTTGTTTTGTATAACTTTGTAGCCTTTTGGGCGATGTTGTGTTTGTACTTGTGTAGGATGAGCGACTATTGAATAAAGTAGTAGGGTTGAGAATAGCCGGCCTGCCTCGCTCCCTTCTCCAGCCCCGCTGCCGTTACCGCGGAGGGCGCGGCTAAGAG